AATTTGAAAGGGCCTAACTCTCAAGGTAGATATTCTTAACTAATGAAGCTAAATTCTTGTTTGATTTTCAGAAGCTTTCAGGGGCTAGTTCTTGGCCAGCCGTTATGGCTCCAGAAAACTCTGGATTCCATGAGCATTTGAAATTTGTTCTGCATTTCCCTCCCCTTTTGATCAGAATGTAAGCATTATTTCATTTTATTCTTTTGTGTGTGTGTACTGTCAAATTGGATCTGACGGGTACAGGAGGAGATTGCCCCTCCTTATCCAACAGAGCATCTGGTGGGTTTGAACTGCATGCCTCTGGGATTGCAGTGCAGTTTCTTGCCACTAGGCCACCAGAGCTCACCTAGAATGTAAGAATTTTAAAGATTTATCCTCCCTCTGTGATGTTCTGATCCATTTATTTTATATATATATATATATATATATAGAGAGAGAGAGAGAGAGAGAGAGAGAGAGAGAGATCTTTCCTTTCAATCCATTTGTGTTTGTTAACCATTTGTTGATTTAAAAACATTACTCAGAGACAGTCCAGGGGCCTTACCTGATACAATCAGTAGATGCAGAGTTGTGGAGTCCTAGTGAGGTGGGGAAGGTTTGGTGGTGTAGGAACGGTGCTGTGACTAGGAGAGGGCTGCGGAGAGAGAGATACTGGCTTGGGAAGGGGCCGTGATGATGGTGTCTTGAACAAAGGAAGCGGGAACTGTCCCCCACAGGGATCCACTGCAGGTGTGAGAGAAGGTCGGTGTGGCTCCCCCATCCCCCCCCCAAGGCTGCTGTGCAGATTAGAAACGAGTGCGGAGTGCCGCGCTGCCTGCGTGGGAAAGTGAAAATGCAGGAGTTTGCAGTTCTTGAGTTTCTGGTCTGCGTCAGGGCAAGCTCAGCCTCACACCAGGCTCTGAAGAAGTGCGGTCAGAGTGCTTCTTAGAAGCTGGGAGGTGAGACTTTGTTTCACATCCTTGGACAAAATCAGGAGAGGCCATTCCCTGGAAAGGACGTCATGCTCAGTCAGGTAGAAGGCCAGTGGAAAGAGAGGAAAACCCACTGTGAAATGGATTGACACAGCAGATCAACAGTGGGCTGACACAGCAGATTGCAAAGATGGCACAGGATGGGGCGGTGTTTCACTGTGTTGTATGGTCACCATGAGCTAACTCAGTGGCACCCAGCAACAACAACAACAAGCTCTCTGAAGGAGTTGCCATTATGATGTCCATTTCACAGCTGAGGAAACTGAGACCCAGAGAGGTAAGTGCTGGAGCAGACAGTGCCTCTAAGATGCAGCTGGTAATGGAATAGTCCCTCGTCCAGGCCCCACTGTATGAAAGGTCAGGCCGAGAGATGACACAAAGAGCTGTACAGCATAAGGTACTAGGCTAACTGAGAGGTCAGTGGTTCAAATCCACCAGCTATTCCTTGGGAGAAAGATGGACCGTTTCCTCCAACAAAAAATGTACAGCCTTAGAAACCAATGGAGAGTCGCTGTGAGTTGAACCTGACTTGATGGTCATCAGTATTTGGTATCCTGACAGTTTATGGACACAGTCATGGAAGAGGGACTGGCCATTCATTTGTACACTAACTGGCCTTTAAAAACCCTACGAACAACAGAGGAACATATATGTATATGTTGCTGTTAGGTTGAGTGAAACCTGTGGCGACCTCATGAACAACAGACCTGAACCCTGTCCTGTCCTGTGCCATCCTCACAATTTCAGACACACTTGAGCCCATTGCAGCAGTCACTGTGGCAATGCACCTGGTTGAAAGGCTTCCTCCCTTTCACTGACCCTCTTCTTTTCCAACATGATATCCCTCTTCAAGGAATAGTGCCTCCTAGCAATATTCCTGACGTGAATGAGATAAAGTTTTATCATCTTTGCCGCCAGGGAATACGCTGACTGCACCCTCTCCAAAACATATTTGTGGATTCTTTTGGCAATCCATGGTATAATCAGCATGCTTCTCTAATACCACAACTCAAAAGCATCAATTCTTCTCTTATCCTTATTCCTTGCCTGGCTCTCAGATGCATAGCAAGTGACTGAACAAACCGTGGTCTGAATCAGGTACACCTTAGTCCTCATACTGACATTATAGCTCATCAACATTTGAAGAGTTCCCTGACTGCAGACTTTACCAGTGCAGTACGTCTCCTGATCTGTCTGCTGGTACCAAGCGCTGAAACAGTACATCAAGGAACTGCATATGAGGTGACTGGAAATACCACAGCAGGGGTGGGTACACTTTAGTCCTCAAGGTAACCTCTTTGTCTTGTAGCACTCTAAAGACGTCTTTTAGGGCAGACTTCTAGAGTCAGGAGTGCTCTGAGCATTCCTTCTGGGTCAGCAGATCATGCTTATAGCTGCTTCATAATTAGCCCCCGGATTAGTGGGCACACCTCCTCTGAAGATCTTTAAAAATTACTGGAACAGTACTTCAACAAGGTACTGCAAGAAATTCAAGCTGGATTCAGAAGAGGCCATGACACAAGGGATATCATTGTTAATGTCAGATGGTTCTTGGCTTGAAGGCAGGGCATGCCAGAAAGATGTTTACTTGTGTTTTATTGACTAAGTAAAGGCATTTGACTGCAAGGATAATAACAAGCTACGGTGAAAAGTGAGAAGAATGAGAATCCTGAGAACACTTAACTGTGCTCATGTGAAACCTGTATTCAGATCATCAAGCTGTTGTGAGTACAGAGCAAGGGAACACTACATGGTTTAAAACTAAGAAAGGCATGCATCAAGATTGTATCCTTTCTCCATACCTATGAATCTCTGCTGAGCAAATTATTCAAGAAGCTGGGCTCTACAAAGAAGATGTAGCATCAAGCTGGGTGGAAGACTTAATAACCACCTGTGTTATGCAGATGAAAAAACAAACTGGCAGAAAGTGAGAACTTGAAGCTCTTGTTGAAGAAGTTAAAAGACTGCAACCTTCAATATGGATTACATTTCAACATTAAGAACACAATGCTACTTGTTTCACTACTGGACCAATAGGCATCCTCATGATAGATGGAGAAAGGATTGAAGTTGGATTCCATTTTGCTTGGATCCACAATCAGCACCCATGGTTGCAGTAGTCAGTACATAATTTTTAAAAAAAAAGTGTTGCATTGGCGAAATCTGCTGTCAAGGACCTCGCTCCTAAGTGCTAAGTTTCCATTTAAAGCGTAAGGTGTGCCTGATAAAAGCTTTAGTACTTTTCAATTGCTTCCCATGCACCTGAGATACAGCAATGCCTTTGCACTGCAGTGCTGGAGAAGAGTGCCAGCTATCCCGCTGTCCTAAGAGCACACGTGTCTCTCTTGGACGAAGTGCCACCAGAGAACTCCAGAATGGCAAAGATGGCAAAACTTCAGCAGGCATCTTCTCTCCTCCCAGCAAGTGGAAGCCCCCAGTTTCTGCAAATCTCGGGGAACAAACAGTGCCGGCTGTGGTCAGTCTCAGAGAAGTGTGACGTGCCACAGAAGGGGCAGCGAAGGCCAGGCTAAGGGACTTGGGGTCACGTGGCTGCCCAGTGGCAGCTGTCATTGACTTTGAGAAATGAGTCTTCCCAGGCGGTTTTCCGAGGGCACTGCTGGAGTAGGAGGGAAGGGCATTTGTTCCATTATGCACTCCAACGGGCAGTCTGGGTCAGGCCTTGGGCACACTGTGAGACAGCATCCAAGGCCCTTTGATGCCTCGATGCGCACCCTCCAAGAGGGTGAGATGCCTCACCAAGCAGGTGGACACGGGGCAGAGAAGGCAAGCGGGGTGAGAGGGAGGGCAGGTGATTTAAGTTAAGACATCAGCTTGCCCTCCCGGAAGGTGAAGTTCAGCATGCACTTGAAAGAGGCCTTCAGGAGAAAGGCTTCTGGACTAGACTGGGAGCCACACGGGACTGTGGGCTGGATGGGCTCCTGGCTGGAATGGACTGGGCAGTAGGCAGGACTGGGCTGTGGGTTTCCAAGCAGGCAAAGCAGCACCTGGGAAGGCCTGCAGGGTTCCGGGTGTGGGAGGAGCAACAGCAGAAAACTGTCCCTCATGGATCTGGCAAAGACACGGTGGTGGGGGTGGGGCTTGAAGGAGGGAAGGACTCGGACTCCGCTGAGTGAGGGTGTCTGAGACTGGGTCTGCGCAGCCTGACAGAGAAGGTTCTAGATCCATACTTGAAGGGTGGTCTGACCCAACTAGCAAACACGGGAAATTGTTATACCCTCAAGAGGCAAAGAGGATGAAACTTGGTCTCGTACATTCTGGGCATGTTGTCAGAAGGAGCCAGTCCTTGGGAAAAGGCATCATGGTGGAAAAGGTGGAGGGTCTGCACAGGAGAGGGAGGGTCTACACAGGAGAGAGAGGATCGGCACTGGTCAGGGAGGGTCAGTACTGGAGAGGGAGGGTCCGCACAGGAGAGGGAGGGTCCGCACAGGAGAGGGAGGGGCAGTACTGGAGAGGGAGGGTCGGCACAGGAGAGGCTCTCCAGATGCACTGACACAGTGATGAACAATGGGGCTTTCTGGTACCTGGCACGGAGTCAGCCTTGTAGGTCTTCAGGAAAGGAAGGAAGGAAGGCAGGCGGGAGTGGAACAGAGAATGTGGGTTCAAGCGGAGAGAAAAGGATGAGACAGAGGAAAAACCCTCCAGCGGCCCCCGGCCGCCTGCGATCGCCCCACGTGCGCGCTCTCCAGCCCCAGCGCATCGCAGGGCGCGGCCGGGCGGGGCCGGGACTACACTTCCCGGCGGCCCGCGTCGGGGCGGAGCCTGGGCCGGAGGCGGACCCCAGGCGGGGCCTGACCGGGGGCGTGGCCGGTACAAAGCCCGGGGGGCAGGCGCGGCGTGCAGAGTCCGGGCGGCAGCGGTCCGAGCGCAGTCCAGCGGCTCCGCGTGCCCGGCGGGAGCGTGTCGGCTGGACGGCCGGCGGCCGACGGCGCCCTCGCTGCCCGTGCGCCGCCGCCGCCCCCCATGCGCGCAGCCCCGCGGGGCCCGGGCCCGTAGGCGGCGGGCGCCCTCATGCTGCTGCAGCCGGCGGCGTGCGCCCCGAGCGCGGGCTTGGCGCGGCCCCTGGCCACCCGCGGCGCCATGCACGGCTCGCAGAAGGACACCACGTTCACCAAGATCTTCGTGGGCGGCCTGCCCTACCACACCACCGACGCCTCGCTCAGGAAGTACTTCGAGGGCTTCGGGGACATCGAGGAGGCCGTGGTCATCACGGACCGCCAGACGGGCAAGTCCCGCGGCTACGGCTTCGTAAGTGGCCCCCGCCGCGGCTCCTTATCGCGGCCCGGGCGCTGAGTCAGCCTCGCGCGCGCCCGGCCCCCGGCGCTTCCCGGGTTGCACCTGCCGCGCCCCGGCCCTCCCCACCCCCACCCCAGGCTGGCGACCCCCCCATCCCCCCGCCGGCGCTCCACGAGGCCTCCTCGTTTTGTGGCGAGGGTCTGGGGGAGACCTCCGGCTCTCGGGGCCTCCTGGAGCCCCAGGGCGAGTGAGGGGCGGAAACGCGGGCCGAGGGCGCGGTGGGGCCGCTGCGCGCCGTGGGGCCCGTGCGCGCGGAGTCTCCAGCCCGGCGCAGCCGCCCCAAATAAACACCGTGTAAGTGACTAGGGCTTGAACATGCCGCCACTTCCCCTCCCTCGTCCGGGCCCTGCCGGCGGAAGTGCCCGGCCACGTTGGGGTGCCGGCCGCTCCGGGGTCCCTGCCTCCGTTAGCCGCTCATGTTTGTCCCACCCCAGTGTCTTCCGCCCTTGACCGCGGGCTGTGCCGGCGCTTGAACTGGGAGAGGAAAAGCGGGAAGGGGGAGGCCTTTGTGGGAAGGCCCCGGACTGGACGCGCTCGGAGGAGGGAAGGGGGCGTCGGTGCTGGGCCTGGGCCTCTGGTGCCAGCCGCCCCACCTGGAAGGGAGAAGCTCTGAGAGCGTCCCTGCCCCTCCCAGGTGACCATGGCCGACCGCGCGGCGGCTGAGCGGGCTTGCAAAGACCCCAACCCCATCATCGACGGCCGCAAGGCCAACGTGAACTTGGCGTACCTGGGGGCCAAGCCGCGGAGCCTGCAGCCAGGTGAGCGCGCCTTCGGGGGCGGAGGGGCCCGGCTGCGGGCTGAAGGGACCCTGCCCTGGTCAGCGCAGCTGCCTCGCTCGGCGCACAGGCGGGCTAGGGCGGGGGCTGTCACCCAGCTCGGGGAGGAAGTCAGCCCGTTGTGCTGGGTGCTTTTGGGGTTCACACAGGACAGAGCTGGAGTGGAGAGGAAGCGGGCTCCCGTCTGCCTCGGGGGTGTGGCCTGTGGTCAGGCTAGCGCCCACCCACCACCTACTCCTCTTTTTTTCAGGCTTTGTAGGAGTGCAGCAGCTCCACCCCGCCGTGATCCAGCGGACCTACGGGTGAGTGGGGGGTGTCTGGGGGTTGAGTGGGCGCCGCATGGGCGCCGCGTGGACGGCGGGTCTGGAGTCTCCTCTGGCACGTGTCCGGGGATTCCCCACCCCACAACTGGGCCTGTGCATCCATGTGCACGGAATGTGGAAGGAGGTCCTGGGAACAGGGGCAGGTGGCATGTCTCCATCCTTCCCAAAGGTACTGCGAGGTGGGCGCAGGGGCCTGGGTTCAAATCCTGCCCCTTCTGCGCTGGTCCTGTGACCTCGTGTGACTCACACAGCCACGCTGTGCCTCAGTTTCCTCCTGTGTAGAATTGGGCTATACCTCAGTTTTCTGTTCTGTAAGATGAGGCTCCAAACACCATCTCTGTGCCTCAGTTTCCTCATTTGCAAGATGGGGATGGTGACAGCACCATCTGTGCCTGAGTGTCTTCATCTGTGAGTTAGGTAGGGAGGAAACAAGATCCCTGGATCGTGCAGTTTGCACATATTTACTAACCAAAAGTCAGTGGTTCAAATCCACCCGGTGCAGCTATATAGTACAACCACAGCCATGGGGTGAGGGGGCGCTGCTCTTCTCTGACATTCGGGACACCTTGATTCCTGCTGACTGGTATCACGTGTTCACAGCTTCACCCTTCATTCCTGTGAGCAGAGATGAGAGAGGCTTGGGCGCAGGTGTTGGTGGAACCGGCGGCTGGGTCACCCCCTGCACCGCTCTGACTGGCTCCAGAGTCTGCTGGACGGGTCCGCCGTCACATGTCTGAGGCTCCAGAAGGACAGATGTGACCTGGGTAGACAGCACCTGCCTGAGCACCCAGTGTGCAGGCCCTTTTGTCTGCTGATCTTTGGAGAGGCGCGTCCCCCGTTCCCCTCTCCAAGTCCTCCTCCCCACCCCCAGCTTTTTCTCTTAGCAGCTGCCCGGGGAGGACACACACTCTCGGGCACAAAGGACCTGTCCGTGGCCTCGTTTCTCAGCTCTGTGATTGATGGTGGCTGTTTGCATGCGGCAGAGAGAATGTCTTGGTGGTGCTGGGAGCAGGTCTCTCCTGGAGTGGACAGGACACTTAGACAGCAAGCAGCTCCTTTGAGACACAGGTAGCGTAGCAGGAGTGCTGGTGGACGGGGATGTGGCGGCTGATGGCTGAGCCGACTCTGGCTTCTGGGTCTCAGGAGGAGTGCTGGCGGCCACAAGTAGGTGGCTTTGTGGTTCTTGTCACCTCGAGGTCTCTTTTGTAACACCTCGGGCCATCGTGGAAGGTGTTGGGGACACCCCAGCGTTCGTGCCTACACTTGGGTCTTCCTCTTTGGGCCTCAGGCCATATGAGGAGGGGAGCGTTTCTCCTGCAGGCTCTGTATGTCTGTAGTCCTGGTTTTCTCCGAGGGAGAGAGCTGGGCATGGGGTTGGATTTTTTTAGTTTTAAGATGGGCTGGTGCTTGGCTTCTCAGGCCTTTTCTCCTGCCCCTCCCACAGCCCCCTGAGGTTGGGCTGTCACTGTTCTCACTTTCTAGATGGGGAGGAGGGCTGGTGTCGCAGTGGTCAGAGTGTTAGGCTACTGACCGAAGAGTCAATGGTCTGAATCCATAAGCTTCCCTGACAAAGACAGACACAGCAGTCTGCTTCCACCACCCCCATTGCTGAATTTGCTTTATGTAATTGGGTGATATAATCAACAAAACCTTGAGAGCAGTCTTCTTTTACGAGGTGTACAGACTTGGAAGCCCTGTGGGCCGGTCTCCTCTGGCCTCCCAGGTTGCTCTGAGGCAGCCCCTGCACTGCCTGTGTTGGGGGTTTCTGGTGTGGAAGGGAGAAGGGGCCTGGAGGTTTCACGGACAGCTGATGCCAGGCTGTGGTTTGAAGTTGATGTGTGGGCGTCTGGTTAGGGGTGGTGACACCAAGACAAAGAAGGAGTTAAACGCCGGTTCCTGGAGGGAGAGACAGGAAGAGTCCCGGTTGCGTTTGCACACTGGTGGGCAGACCCAGGCTCATGTGCTCAAGGGCTGTTCATTGTGGGTGGGACGCCCCAGTCTCCTCCCCTTTGGGGTCTTGGACCAGTAAGTGCTCCCCCTGGGTGAGATGTCCAGGGTCACTCAACAATACTGCCACTGCCGTCTGCTGTAACTCAGTCATCTGACCGGTCATTTAACACCTATGACAGTGACCAACCTAAAGTTTACTTGTTGGTTGCCAAGCGGGTGAGGCCCAGACAAGGCCAGAGGCCAGAGAGACTGTCCCCTGTTTATTCCCAAGGCCCTAGGAGCTGAAGCCTTGAAGCCTCTCAGATCCAGGCTCTGTCCCCCAACTCCCACGGAGAACCCTAGGAGGTAGCAGGGAGATCTCCTGGGTGTGTTGCCCCCAGCAGCGGCCTGAGCCAGGCAGCCCGGGTCAGCTGTCTGCCCACCGCACCCACCACCTGACCGAGAGCTGGCCTGTCAGCGTCCCTTTTGTTTTTGCAAACAATCGGGCCAGGGAGCGGCCTGACTCAGCGGACAGCGTCCACCGCGGGCTGCCGCCTGCATGGCTCAGGCCTCGTGAGAATGGGGGCCGCTAGCTCATTTTGGGGCAGTTAACCCCACTTCTGTCTGGTCAGACTTGTCCCAGGCTTTCTGGCCTGGGCAGTGGGACTCCAGCAGTCCCAGAGGCCCCACGGCCCACCGACTTAGATCAGGAGAGGGATTTGAGTCCTATGCCGTTTCCAGGGTGCTGTTCGGAGCTCCTTTGACCTTTACTTTGGGTGTGACCTCACTCAGGGATGTGCCTGCGGGTTGGAGAAGGTTTTCACGGCTGCTGACCAACATGTATGCCAGCCCCTTGGATTTGTGTGGGCGCACTGAGGGAGAAGACAGACAGGCAGCTCTCTGCTGACGGGTGGACGTAGGAACTGGCGGGGGTGGGAATGGGGAGCATCGGGGTGGGCTCAGGCCAGCTTGGGTCCGGCCTGGAGAGGGGCTGCCTGGTCCCTGGCTGTGTGTCCGCCTGGTCCCCACGCAGCAGTTCGTCCCGAGTCTGGCCTCACTTGGAGCCTGTCCTGGGTTATTTTTGATGATCAGCTGGTGCTCTGGGCACAGCCTCCACCTCTGCTCTTGAGGGGACTTGACTGTGACCTTGATCTGTAAGTTCAAGATGAGGGATGAGTGTCCGGCACCCAGAGAGGCGAGGCTGACACGTGCTGCGTGGAGCCAGGAGCAGTAGGTTCGAAGCCAGGCCCAGCTCTTCTCCCAGGACCTTCTGCTGACCACAGCGCAGTGGGGCTGTGAGGAGGCCACCTCACAGGGCTGTTCTGGGGTCAGGTGAACGCTGCGTGCCCTGTCCCCAGGGCTCACTGGAGGGATATGACCTTTGTCAGTGCCATGCCTCACTGGGGGACACCCTGAAGGTGTAGTGCATAACGTGTAGGCTGCTAACCGAGAGGTCTGGGGTTTGAATCCACCAGCCCCTCCTGTAGAAAGATGGGCAGTCACCTCTTGTGACATTTTACAGCCTCAGAAAACCCGCTGAATTTAAACAGAGTGGGGGAGGGGGAGGGTGGGCATTTGTACACTCATTGCAGGAACCCCGCAGAGGCTTGGGGGGACAGAAGTGGCCTGAGCTCACTCACTGGGGAGTCAGCGGGCTGCATTGAGGCTCCAGTACCTCCACTGGCCTGAGATAGAGCAGATGAGAGCCAGGACCGCTGAGGCTAACGACACAGGACCCTGTCCCCACGCGGAGGCACACGCTCACCCGACCCATGCCGTTCCAGGGACCTGAGACCCTTCTGTGTGAAGACCCGGGGTGTGGTCATTGGGCCACGTTGGAGCTGGGGTGCGGGGCTGTGAACTCCCAGAACTGCCTGCTCTGTGTGTGCTGGGTGCCTGCCGTGTGCGGGGCCGTGCTGTATGCTGAGGCCCCTTCGTCCTTGACCGTGGTACTTGAACAGAGCTGGTTAATTCCCACGTATTTCCGGTGGGTTTCTTTCTCCGGCTTCATCAGCGTGTGGGCGTGTTGGATCTCAACCTTGACGTTGGTGGAGACGGTGGGAGCTGGCCTGGGGTCTTGCCGAAGGGGGGCTCCGAGCCCTGGATGCAGCCTGGGCTGTGGTGGGGAGCGCCCAGGGGTGTCAAGCCCTCAGCGTCCTTGCCCATGTCTTTCCAGATGTTCGGCCGGCGTCGGAGGTGGCGAAACCTTCCGGCTGTTGTTGTAGTGCCGCCGTCTCTTCAGCTTGCCACTGTGTGTTTCAGGCCCCAAAGGCAGGAGCCTGTGTCTTACGATTGTTAAATCTTGATGCCTCGATTCTTGTTATCGCTGTATGTAGGAGCCCTCCTGATGTGCTGGTTCAGATGCTAACAGGAAGGTTGATGGTTCAAACCGTGGGCTCAGCGAGAGAGCGTTGTGGCTGTCCGATCCAGACAGATGCATCCTTAGAAGCTCCTGGGTGTTCTGGCCTTGTAGGGTCTCATGGAGTCAGAATGGACTTCATGGCGGGGAGTTTGGGTTTGTAGGGAGCTCTGGTGACCTTATGGGTAAGAACTTGCGTTGCAGCGAAGGGCACGCCGTTCAGACGCACCCACAGCTCCGAGGGAGGGGGACAGGCGGCCATTTACAGCCTCTGAAAACCCACCAGAGAGTCAGCCCTGAGTCTGAGCTCTGCATTTGATAGAACGTCCCCTTTGTGGGGCCCTATGGGATCAGGAAGTCAGAGCTCCCTTGCCTAGTGGACACTGCTGGGCGACACTGAACCCGCATTTGTGTGTGGGGAGGACGGATTTGGGAACCCCTTCCTGGGGTGACAGTGCTGTGTCGCGGTGTAGGATGCAGTCCACTTTCCCGTGTGTGATGTGGTGCTCTAGGCTGACCCCCAAGACACGGGGCGGTGGTGCCGCCCCACAGACATCTGGGTGCAGGTGCCAGGTGGGGCCCTGGGCGATGTCACCACGGGGAGCAGGTCAGGGCGCGGGGACAGCAAGAGGCGTGCACCCCTGCAGCGGGGTGAGTGCACCTCTCACTGTCTCAGTACCATCACATCAGC